GTTGTTGCTATTCTTTTCTTCGATCTCCTGTTGAGTTTGTAGGTGTTCAGAATGGTTTGATCCCTATCCAGCTGAATTCCTGGGGCCAGATGAAATTTAGGTCTCCTACTCCTCTGCCATCTTGCTCCTCCCCTTTATTAAATTATTTTTTAATAGACTTTTTTTAAGAGCAGTTTTAGGTTCACAGAACACTTAAGCAGAAAGTACAGAGAGCTCCCACGTATGCCTTACCTGTACCATATGTACAACTTTGGTCCCTTAACCCTATTTTTTTCTAAAAGGAGTTAGGTTTCGTACTTAACTCTCATACCAGTTTTCTTGAAAGAAACTCCATGGTTGGAGTTGACTGTAATTTATATGCTTCTAAAAATTTCCAGCCACTGTTCTAGTCCTTCAGGGGACCCAGAAAGAATTCAGAAATTGGTGACATTTCTCTCAAACAGCTTAAAGACTAATTGAGAGGAAAAACAGTCTACAAAATTAAGTGTAATGCAAGGTTGAAAGTGATCATGCCAGTAAGAGAAGTGCAGAACAGTGTTGTAAGAATGGAGAAAATGGAAAACATACCATGAGTGGAGTACCATAGCCAGGTGAATTTTGAGCAAAATTCTGTATTAGGTCATCTGTTTCTCTTCCAACTGATGGGCCCCCATTTACAACACTCATTTGCAGGTGTTGGCTCTTGGCAGACAGCTATGGAGATTGTCATTAATGATCTCCGCAACTGTCTCCACAACCATCTCTAATCAAACCTTTCTGACCCAATGTGAATACTTTAAGGCTAGATTCTCTTTGTTTGTAAAGGCAAATGGGATACTCATGAGGTATTATAATACACTTTTCCTTGTGCAGCTGGAAAAGTGCATGCTAAAAATTAACTGAACGATATAATTGTATTACTGCTCCTTTGAAGCTACAAATAAGCATAAGTCAATTTTGTAAGCAATTGTCTATTATAGGTTTTCTTTCTTTTTTTTTTTTCAGTTAAGCACGGATTTCTTTTCACATATATTTTTCTCTTCAGATAGGTGCCTTCTATTTGAACCTCGGAGGAGCTCCAGAGGGGCCAGCAGGCACAGGAAAAACTGAAACCAGCAAGGACTTGGCTAAAGCTCTTGCAGTCCAATGTGTGGTGTTCAACTGTTCAGATGGGCTAGATTATCTAGCAATGGGAAAGGTAAAGTTGCATATTGAATGTTATAAACTTAGAGCTAGGTCCAACTGGATAAACTGAAACGAATTCACATTATTTGAATGTTTATGCATTGCTTAAACCTCAGTTTTAGGGGTAAAGACATTGTTTTTATACCTGGGGGTTTATTGGTTTTCAGTTTTGACTTAAAAGATTAAATATTTGTTTAACAAATGATGCCCCTTAGTAAGAAAACTCACCTCCTTTTCCTTGTTCTTAGTTTTTTAAAGGACTGGCTTCTTCTGGTGCTTGGGCTTGCTTTGATGAATTTAATCGGATTGAGTTGGAAGTGCTGTCAGTGGTAGCTCAACAGATCCTTTGCATTCAGAGAGCCATTCAACAGAAGCTGGAAGTGTTTGTTTTTGAAGGGACAGAGCTTAAGCTCAATCCAAACTGCTTTGTAGCCATTACCATGAACCCTGGCTATGCAGGACGTTCTGAATTACCAGATAATCTTAAGGTAATATCTTGTAAGAGTGTAAATTTAATTAAACCTAACAGCACCATCCACTTAAAATGGTATAATTTCCTCACATATATTTGTAAATGTCCCTTTTACCTTTGCCATTACCTACAAGGTAAACCTCTAAAAACTTTTTTAGGCATCTAATGCATATTAAAGTACATGAAACCATTACGGTGCTACTGAAAAAAAATTACAGGATTAATGAAAATGTGCTGCATTAGGGGAATAAGCTTGAATATCACCACATTCTGTTGGGATGCTTGTGCTCAGCTTTTAAAAATGGTTTCCGTTATATAAGTAATAGATTTCATTCATTATATACTTCAGGTTCTTTTTAGAACAGTGGCTATGATGGTTCCAAACTATGCCCTCATAGCAGAAATCTCCCTCTACTCCTATGGATTTTTGAATGCGAAACCTCTGTCTGTGAAAATAGTGATGACCTACAGGCTTTGCTCAGAACAGCTCTCGTCACAATTTCATTATGACTATGGAATGCGAGCAGTAAAAGCAGTTTTAGTGGCTGCTGGAAACCTAAAACTAAAATTTCCAAATGAAAATGAAGATATACTGGTAAGTGTTAAATATATACGTTATGAAAGCCTCAGTACAAGATACATTTTTTTTTTTTTTTTTTTAGGAAAGTTGATCAGGAGCTATAAATAGGCAAATAAGAAAGTTGTTGGTTTTGAATCTTTTTATGTGAGGTTGAAATAGTAGTTTTGGGATTATGTTATTCATTATACTTTATATGAATCCAAGGACCTTCTGGCTTGATAAGCATAGTGTTGGCATTTTAGTATGGGGATTCCATAGAGAGATGTGAGAGGAACTTTGACTTTTAGTGGTGGGCAGGGTGGGCAATATGGGCAAGTAACTTATATTGCACTTTTTGGATGATTTTTAGCTTCTTCGGTCAATTAAAGATGTAAATGAACCGAAGTTTCTATCACATGATATACCCTTATTTAATGGAATAACTAGTGACCTATTTCCTGGTATTAAACTTCCTGAAGCTGACTATCATGTAAGTAAACCTGTGAGAATGACTTATTCTGCAAATAAATTTATCTGATGACTCAATCATTTTAAATGCATTAAATTATTCTATTTGGAGGATAAACCCCTATTTTGGCCACTTTCATTAATGAGGATGAGTAAATTCTGGTATCTTCTGTTATAGGATACCAATGTTAACAAGATTCAGATTAAAGATAATGTTCTTTCTAAGAGAATGAGTACTTTTATTTCCTATCATGTGATTTCTGATATTTGCTTCAATGTGTACTGTAATTCTGTTGTGTACTCTAGCAGGTAGAAAAGATGGTAAACTGCAAGTGGCAAAACATCCTATAGTTCACATAAGGATTTCTCATATTTAAGTAATATGCTTTTTTTTAAGAGGAAACAAACCATGTGCATTTCCAATTTCATCTAAATTATACATTAAAATGTACATATATATATACATATATATACACATAAGAATAAGTGTCTGCTGTTTATAGCTGTTATGTAATGTAAAATCAAGATAAAATTTTTTGCATTAAGTTTTTTTTTTTAAGATTTTATTTATTTATTTGTTAGAGAGAGAGAGCGTGGGCGAGAGAGTGAGCGAGAGTACAAGCAGGGGGAGCTGCAGGCAGAGGGAGAAGCAGGCTCCCTGCTGAGGTAGGAGCCTGGTGCGGGACTCGATCCCAGGGCACCGGCATCATGACCTGAGCCGAAGGCAGCCGCTTAACCGACTGAGCCACCCAGGTGTCCCTTTAATTAAGTTTTTAATTTTAATTCCAGGGTATTTAACATACAGTGTTATATTAGTTTCAGGCATACAATACAGTGATTCAACAGTTCTATATACTACTCAGTGCTCATCGTGATGAGTATACTCTTGAATCCCCATCACCTATTTCACCCACTCCCCTACCCACCTCCCCTCTGGTAACCATCAGTTTGTTCTCTATAGGTCTGAGTCTGTTTCTTGGTTTGTTTCTCTCTCTCTGTCTCTCTCTTTTTCCCTTTGCTCATTTGTTTTGTTTCTTAAATTCCCCATATGGTATCTGTGTTTCTCTGACTGATTTCACTTAGCATTATACTCTCTAGCTCCATCTAGGTCGTTGCAAATGGCAAGATTTCCTTCCTTTTTTTTTTTTTTTTAAGATTTTATTTATTTATTTGAGAGAGAGAGTGAGAGAGAGAGCGCAAGAGGGGGTAGGGTTAGAGGGAGAAGCTGACTCCC